CCGGAATTACAGGCGCGCGCTACCACACCTGGCTAATTTTTTATTTATTGTAGAGATGAGCCTGGTGTGGTGGCGCTCACCTGTAGTCTCAGCTACGCAGGAGGCTGAGGCAGAAGGATCATCCAAGCCCAGGTCGAGGCTGTGGTGAGCCACGATCATGCCACTGCACTCCAGCCTGGGTGACACAGGAAGACCCCAACTCAAAAAAAAAATGTGGGAAGTGCTGTGGGCGGAGTGTGGCTGAGGGCAGATAGGGGCCCTGGTCTGGGTTGAGGGTGGGTACGCCTGGGAGGGCCTGGGTGACAATGCCCCAGAGGTGAGAGGGCGAGCGGCTAGTCACGGCAGAGGGAACAGCTTCGGCAAAGGCCCAGAGGAGGGGGGCCTGGCACGGCCAGAGAGCCCAGTGTCCTTCCTCACGGCTGAAAGGCAGAGGGAGCTGGATGAGGACGAGGCTGCAGTTCCAGTGGGGCCTGGACCACGCAGAACCTTCTCTGCCAGGCAGGATGCCTGGATTTCACTGTGAGGGCAGGAAGTACCCACTGAACGGTGAAAGTCATGGATCAGACTAAGACACGGGATGCCCAAATCTATTTCCTCACTCCTCCGCCCTGACTCCGTCATGTCACTATTGATGCCATCTTCAGCTCCAAGGGTGTTCCTTCACTTGAGCGCCCATTTCTCTTGCCTTGTCTTTCCCTCTGGCCTCCCATCTGTTGGGCCATTGTCTTCTTAGCGTCTTAAAATTTGCCTGATTAGAAGATTTTAGGGAGAGTGAGGGAATGAACCTAAATAAGTCCATTCAACAAAATTTTTTTTAAAGAGACAGGGTCTTGCTATGCTGCCCAGGCTGTACTGGAATTACTGGACTCAAGCAATCCTGCCGCCTCAGCCTCCCAAGTAGCTAGTCCCAACTCCAGGTACATGTTACCACACTGGGCTAAAATCAGTCCCATTCTAGATAAATCCTGGTGGAGACAGTTGCAAGCAGAGGTGTTTTTAATTTTTTAATTCCATCCTCAGCGCATTTTAGCTATATTTACTCTCATCTCCATTATCACTGTCAACTAAGATTTGGTTCCGGGCATGGTGGCTGATGTTTGTAATCCGAGCAATTTGGGAGGCTGAAGTGAAAGGACAGCTTGAAGCCAGGAGTCCAAAGCCAGTTTGGGCACCATAGCAAGACCCTGTCTCTACAAATATAAATGAAATAGAAATTTTTAAAAAGGAGACTTCGTGGGCAACCCCTTCCAGTCCCCTCTCTCTGTGGGAGCTTTTCTGTCCTCTCAATAAATTCTGCTTTCTCACTTAAAAAAAAAAAAAAGGGAGACTGGGTGACTGGTCATTCCTAGATCTAATTTTAAAGCATTTCAGTCACCAAATATGAATTTCAAATGGAACTTTTTCAAGGTCCAACAGAGAATATTCCTTTTTTTTTTGAGTTGGAGTCTCACTCTGTCGCCCAGACTGGAGTGCAGCCTCAACCTGCTGGGCTCCGGCGATCCTTCCACCTCAACCTTCCAAGTAGCTGGAATTACAGGCATGTGCTACCACGCCTGGCTAATTTTTTGATTTATTGTAGAGATGAGGTCTCGCCAAGTTGCCCAGGCGGGTCTCGAACCCGCGGGCTCAGGCAATCCACTCACCTCAGCCTCCCAAAGGTGCGGGATTACAGGCTGAGCCACCAAGCCCAGCAAATATTCCTTTTTTAAAATGTTGAACATGGCCGGGCTCGGTGGCTCAGCATGTCATCCCAGCACTTTGGGAGGCCAAGGTGAGCCCAGCAGGTTGACGCTGGGGTGGCCGTGAGCGTGCCATTCTACTGCAGCCTGGGCGACGGAGTGAGACTCCACTCAAAAAAAAAAAAGGTTGAACATGAAAAATAGTACAGCGTACAATGGACGCCCCTGCCCTCCTCCCAGGAGTTCCCTCCCACGTGGTCCTCAGTTCTGTTAGAAGTCAGCCTCAGTTGTACGCGTAGGCTCACGTCTTTAATCCCAGCGGTGGTCATGAGCTTGCCGCTAACCTCCAGCCTGGGCAACAGAGTGAGACTCTTGACTCAAAAAAGAAAAAAAGAAGCCAGCCTCTTAGGCACCCCTTCCTGATCTCAGCTTCTCTCACTGCAAGTAACCGCTCACTATGGTGTGTGCCACTCCCACAGGTGTTGCTGGACATGTATACACTCTGAACTGCACAGTATTCCAGCCGACTTTGCATCAGTGGCATCATGATGTCCTAGCCCTCTGTAGGATTTTCCCACTCAGGACTGTTCCTCAGACAGAGCTCTACTGGTACAAGCAGAACTAATCCATCCCTCCATTCCTGTATCGTATGTATTTACCCACTCCACCATTGCAATATATTTATTTATTTAGTATTATTTTTATTATTTTGAGTTGGAGTCTCACTCCATCGCCCAGCCACCCCAACGTTGACCTGCTGGTCTCACTCACAGCCACCCCACCGTTGTTAACCTGCTGGTCTCCGGCGATCCTTCTGCCTCAACCTTCCAAATAGCTGGAACTACAGGCACGCGCTACCACGTCTGGCTAATTTTTTATTTTTTGTAGAGATGAGGTCTCGCCAAGCTGCCTGGGCTAGCCTCAAATCCAAGGGCTCAGGCAATCCACTCGCTTAAGTCTTCCAAAGTGCGAGGACGACGGGCTGAGTCACCAGCTCGGTCTGCTATATATTTAAATTTTTTTCTAGTACAAACACTGTTGTATATTCTTGAGCATTCCATGTAAAGATTATGCAAGTTTGGGCATATACTATAGTGGAATTGCTGAAGAGTAAAAGGTGTACCCTGTTATCAGATACCACCAAATATGGCTCTCCAAAATGGTTGTACCAACTTATGCTGCCATCACAATGCAGAGGACTTCCTAGTTCTCCACAGCTTAGTAAACACAAAGTCAGTTCTGGTTTTTATTTTTTTACTTTTATTTTTTTGAGTTGGAGTCTTACCCCGTCACCCAGGCTGGAGTGCAGTGGCACGCTCATGGTTACCGCAGTCTCGACCTGCTGGGCTCCGGTGATCCTTTTGCCTCAGCCTTCCAAGGAGCTGGAACCACAAGCATGCATCACCACGCTTGGCTAATTTTTTTTAATTTATTTTAGAGGCAAGGTCTCACCATGTTGCCCAGGCTGGTCTCAAACCCCCAGGCTTAGGCAATCCTCTTGCCTTGGACCCCCAAAAATGCTGGGATGACAGGTGTGAGCCACATTGCCCGGCTAGGTCTGGTTTTTAAATGCTGCTAATCTGATATCTATGAAATAGTATCTCTTTTGTTGTTTTACTTTCATTTTCTTGCTGGGAGCGGTGGCTCACACCTGTTATTCCAGCATTTCAGGAGGCCAATGCAGGAGAATTGCCTGAGCCCAGGGGTTCAAGACCAGCCTGGGCTACATGGCGAGAGACCTCATCTCTACAATAAATAAAAAAATTAGCTGGTCGTGGTGGCGCACCTATGGTTCCAGCTCCTTGGAAGGCTGAGACAGAAGGATCATCTAAGCCCAGCAGGTCAAGGTTATGGTGGCCATTAGCGTGCACTCCCGCCTGGGCGACAGAGTGAGACCCCAAATCAAAAAAAAAAAAAAAATCATTTTCTTATTTATAAGTGAGAGGACCAAACATGTATTATTCATGTCATGGACACTTCCCTTCCCTTTCATAATATAGGGAAATATGATGATAAAATATTTTTTTTTAAAGTTTGATTAAAAAAAAAAAAGTCAGGTCGGACGCAATGGCTCACACCTATAATCCCAGCACTTTGGGAGGCCAAAGTGAGAGGAATGCCTGAGCCCATGGGTTCAAGACCAGTCCGGGAAACTTGACGAGACCTCATCTCTACAATAAATAAAAAATTAGCTGGGAGTGATAGTGCGCGCCTGTAGTTCCAGCTACTTGGAAGGCTGAGGCAGGAGGCTCGCCGGAGCCCAGCAGGTTGAGGCTGCTGTGGCCATGAGTGTGCTACTACACTCCAGTCTGGGTGACAGAGTGAGACTCCAACTCAAGAAAAAAAAAAAAGTAGCCGGGCATGGTGGCACTTGCCTGTGGTTCTAGCTACTTGGAAGGCTGAGGCTGAAGGACTGCCTGAGCTCAGCAGGTCGAGGCTGCAGTGACCGTGAGTGTGCCACTGCGCTCCAGCCTGGGTAACAGAGTGAGACTTAGACTCCAAAAAAAATTTTTTTTTTTAAAAAGAAAAAGTTCAGGCTCGGTGGCTCAACCTGTAATCCAAGCACTTTGGGAGGCCAAGGCGAGAGGATTTCCTGAGCCCGTGGGTTCAAGACCAGCCCCAGCAACTTGACGAGACCTCATCTCTACCATAAATCATAAAAATTAGCTGAGCATGGTAGTGTGCATCTGTAGTTTCTGTTACTTGGAAGGCTCAGGAGGAAGGATCGCCTGAGTCCAGCAGATTGAAGCTGAGGTGGCCATAAGCGTGCCACTGCATTCTAGCCTGGGTGACAGAATGAGACTACAACTCAAAAAAAAAAAAAAAAGAGCAGAACTCTGGAGAATTCTTTCAAAAGTAATTTTTTTTTTGAGTCTCACTCTGTCACAGGCTGGAGTATAGTGGTGCAACCATCGTTCACTGCAGCCTCGAACTCCTGGACACAAGCAATCCTGCTGCCTCAGCCTTCCAAGCAGCTGGGATTGCAGGCACGTGCCACCACACCCAGCTAATTTATTTTTATTTTTATTTTTGTAGAGACAAGATCTCACAATGTTGCCCAGGCTGGTCTTGAACTCCTGGCCTCAAGCGATCCTCCCACCTGAGTCTCTCAAAGTGCTGAGATTACAGGCATGAGCCACCGTGTCTAGCCTCAAATAATTTTTTTTTTTTTTTAGTCGGAGTCTCACTCTATCACCCCGGCTGGAGTGCAGTAGCATGCTCACAGCCACTGCAGCCTTGACCTGCTGGGCTCTGGCGATCCCTCCACCTCAGCCTTCCAAGTAGCCGGAACCACAGGCGCACACTACCATGTCTGGCTAATTTTTTATTTATTTATTTACTGTAGAGACAAGGTCTCATCAAGTTGCCCCGGCTGGTCTTGAACCTGCCGATTCAGGCAATTCACTCACCCTGACCTCCCAAAGTGCTGGGATTACAGGCTGAGACACTGAGGCCGGCCTCCTCAAGTAATTGTTATTTGTTTTGTTTTGTTTTGCTTTGTTTGAGACGAAGTCTCACTCTGTCGCCCAGGCTGCAGTGCAGTGGCACGCACAGCTACCACAGCCTCGACCTGTTGGGCTCAGGCGATCCTTCTGCCTCAGCCTTCCAAGTAGATTGGAACTACAGGCGTGCCATACACTCAACTAATTTTTTGATTTATGGTAGAGATGAGGTCTCGCCAAGTTACCCAGGCTGACCTCGAATCCCTGGGCTCAAGCAACCCTCTTGCTTTCACCTCCCAACGTGCTGGGATTACAGGCATGAATCACCATGCCTGGTTCAAAAGTAACTTTTAAACAAAACGTCAACCTTTTGTAAAAGCTCTGCCCAAGCAACCTTGGAAATTCTCTGAGGAGATGAGCCACATCTAACACCTCTTGAGTTCTCCGAGTGCACTGGAAGTTCTTTCTTTGCTAGAAGGGGAATCTTACTTGTAACAGT